ATAAAAATACATGCTTTCCTTTGAAATGCTTTTATCGTTCCCGAATTTCGAAATAATCAAATACTGCGATTTATGAGCTTGGGATAGGGCGTCTAGAGAACGATATAGGGCTTATAGAGGACGACTGGGAAGTAGGTGACCTTAGTTTTGTAGGTGAACTTTTACAGGGATGGGACTTCGTGTGGGCTTACTTTCACTCTCGGCCGATTACACCTGCCCTCACCTCAAATCACGTTGTGGTTATTCAGCTCTTCTGATACGTCGCGTTACGTAATACGGTTTACTATCAAATTGGGGAATTTTTTATGGTAAATTTTAGAAATTTTTGAAAAAAGTTTACATACTGAAAAACATATACACTTTTTCATTGTTGATTTTTTTTTTGTTTAAAGAAAGGATAATGCGGTTCTACTGTTGGGCAATTAAAACGATTAGAACATTAAATGATATTTTAAGTGCTGAAACACAGAACGTGAGTGGTAGTATTCATCACAGGTTAATTATTTTTGTACTCAATACCAAATTTTCCTTCTAAACGTGCCCGTTATGTCGATTTTCTAATGGTTCTAATTAAATTTTTTTCTTTAATTATTATTATCGGCATATTTAATGATGTAAATGTTTAGGTCCAAAATATCAAAAAGTGGTCTTAGTAAATGAAATTTGAAAGAAACCAATTTTAAAGTGGATTTGCATTATTCTACTGGTGATAATTTTCCGAACATTGTTATGAAGTTGTGTCATATTTTTTTATTAGCATTACATGTGTATCTGTTGACATAATTGACGATTATCCTACATCTAAAGGATATGACCAAACGATGGATGTCACGTGAAGGGAAAGTAAACTAGATTGCCAAATAGATCCGTCCTAGAAACAGACTGGGTTAGCACGGTCGAAAATCATTTACCCGTGGTGGAGATAAACCAAAAGAAACTTGGTTTTAAACGAAATCTACCAAAAATCTTTTAAATCGATTACATCATGCTAATCAAAATTCTCGGGTTATGCGCACTTGCAACGCCTTTCTAAATTGTATCGTATTACATATTCTTTATAAGGCAAATGTCTTTTTCTGATGACTTTACAAAAAAATCAACGTAACATGCAAATGCATTTTCTCAGCTTCCTGATCGATTGGATAACATTTTTTTACCCAGTTAGAGTAAATTATTGCTGTTTGTTATGTCACGTTAGCACATGGTTGTCATTTTACCAAGATTCAATTAAGGCAGATAAATAATTACAACAAAACTCAGGAAGATTCGGTGAATCCCTGATCTGATTTAGGCCAACTACAACAACTGGATTGACTATTACTACAAAACAATGTTACGAAAAAATACATAATTAACTCGGTATTGACTATCACTACAAAAATACCATCAACACTCAAGCAATAATTGACCCGACATAGGAACAAATTGTTCGAAACCCGATCAAACGAGATCATATTGATTAATTGTACAAAAATTCAATTCTGTAGCAATTCTCAATTGCTATTACTACAAAGTAATACATCATGACAACCATCCTAGAAATAATTTACCATAAATTGGCTGTTACATCAAGTGATACCACAACTAGTCGAACTAAACCGGAATTTACTAGTACAGAAAAAACACTCCTACGACAAAATAGATAATTACATTCGACGTTACTATAACTACAAAGACAAAGTCACCACCCAAGCAATAATTATTACTAGAATGACTGTTACTACAAATTGCACTATAACTAGAACAAATTGTCTATTTTTACAAACAAAAAACGACTACGACAAAACAGATAATCACATTCAAAGTTACTGGGTCTACCAAGACAAAGTCACCAACCAAGCAATAATTAATACCAAAATGACTGTTACTACAAATTGCACTATAACTAGAACAAATTGACTATTTTTACACAAAAAAACAACTACTACGTCAAACCAAATAATCACATTCAAAGTTACTGTGACTACAAAGACAAAGTCACCACCCAAGCAATAATTAAATACTAGAATGACTGTTACTACAAATTGCACTATAACTAGAACAAATTGACTATTTTTACAAACAAAAAAAACGACTACGACAAAACAGAAATCACATTCAAAGTTACTGGGTCTACCAAGACAAAGTCACCAACCAAGCAATAATTAATACTAGAATGACTGTTACTACAAATTGCACTACAACTAGAACAAATTGACTATTTTTACAAAAAAACAACTACTACGACAAAACAGATAATCACATTCAAAGTTACTGTGACTACAAAGACAATGTCACCATCCAAGCAATAATTAATACTGGAATGACTGTTACTACAAATTGTACTATAACTAGAACCAATTGACTATTTTTTACAAAAACACTGCTACGACAAAATACATAACTACCGAATTTACTATAACTACGGCGACAATGTCACCATCCAAGCAATAATTAATACTAGAATGACTGTTACTACAAATTGGACTATAACTAGAACAAATTGACTATTTTTACAAAAAGAAAACTACTACAACAAAACAGATAATCACATTCAAAGTTACTGTGACTACAAAGACAAAGCACCACCCAAGCAATAATTAATACTGGAATGACTGTTACTACAAATTGTACTATAACTAGAAAAAATGTCTATTTTTACAAAAACACTGCAAGGACAAAATAGATCATTTTATTCGACGTTACTGTATCTACAAAGACAAAGTCACCAGCCATGCAATAATTGTCACTAGATTGGCTAGTTACTACAAATAGATCTAAAGCCAGTCAAACTAGACTAAATTGACTATTACTACAAACAATGTCACTACGCAAGCCACAATTAATTCTAAATCTGCACAATTGCTGCTAAAATCTAATTGATTATCACAAGAAAAACACAATTATAAATAAATACTTGTATATAAATTGGCTATTACTACAAAAACACATCAAATCACTACCCGTGAGTCCCAATAAATTGATTAATTTATTTGAACCATCATTGAACATTCATGTCATTGAGTCATTGCACAAAACAACAAGTTAAAAGAAAAGGCTTAATATAAATATATTACCTGTTACAGTCAGAGAATAGACACAGCCCAAATGTAGTTTTATAACAAATGATGACATAATTAAATCTGAATTGACTAGTACTACAAAAACATAGCTGCAATCATGAGCGTGGCTATCAATGAAATTACTATTACAAAAACCTAAATAAGTAATCTTTTTATGAAAGGTTTATGATTGAAATGAAAAAGTTAGTGCCATTTCAACCAAAAAACTTACATAAAAAGATTAATCAATTGAAAGAAATAATTTGGTCAATAGACCACTAAATCTAATGAATCTAAATAAATCGACTATTAAAAAATAGAAAATTATTTGTAACGATATTTTCTTTATTTATAGTAGTCAAATGTACAATTTTTAAGAAATAAATCACCACCCATTTGTGAGCAGAAATGACCAAATGCCAACGTAAAGAAAATTAATCTTCAAGATTACACAATACATTTTCTCGTTTAATATTGAATAACTAATCGTTTAAGGAAGGACGCCATATTTTAGAAGCATTATTAAATTTCAAAAACCTTAATATCATGAAAAATATATCAACATTATTCTTCTATAGATCGAATCAAAAGACGTTACCTTGTAATAAATTATTTGTTTTCTTCATTTTTAATTAGACTTAAATCTACAATTGTCCTATGGTGAACCTCTAAGGGTAAACAGTTCCATCGGCAATATCGTTATAATGATAATCAATAGATAATCAGTACCGAATTCTAGGCTGATTTTTGTCCTGATCACAGAAAGTAAACGGGACATGCTGATTCCGCCAACGAGGAGAAGAAATACAAAACCTGGAGCAACATTCCTTCGTAAGAGAAAGTATTTTTCAACTGATAAAACGAATAGGAAGGAAGTTGATGAGTAAGTTTTAACAAATAACTCATACGTTTGTAAAATTCAAATTGACTCATAAATTAGAAATATTATGTTACAACATATTTGATGTTTTATGATTGTTTGGTCGTATTGTTATTGTTCATAATTAAAATATGATATATTTTAACACAAATTTAAAGGAAGTTGATGAGTAAGTTTTAAGAAATAACTCATACGTTTGTAAAATTCCAATTTCCTCATAAATTAGAAATATTATTATACAACATATTTGAAGTTTTATGATTGTTTGGTCGTATTATTTTTGTTCATAATGAAAATATGATTATTATAACACGACTATGAATGAAGTTGATGAGTAAGTTTTAAGAAATAACTCATAATTTTGTAAAATTCAAATTGACTCTTAAATTAGAAATATTACGTTACAATATATTTAAAGTTTTATGATTGTTTGGTCGTTTTGTTTTTGTTCGTAATGTTAATATGATATATTATAACACGAATATGAAGGAAGTTGATGAGTAAGTTTTAAGAAATAACTCATACGTTTGTAAAATTCAAATTGACTCATAAATTGGAAATATTTTACAACATATTTGATGTTTTATGATTGTTTGGTCGTATTGTTATTGTTCATAATGAAAATTTGATATATCATAACACGAATATGAAGGACGTTGATGGGTAAGTTTTAAGAAATAACTCATACTTTTGTAAAATTCAAATTGACTCATAAATTGGAAATATTATGTTACAACGTATTTGATGTTTTATGATTGTTTGGTCGTATTGTTATTGGTCATAATGATAATATGATATATTATAACACGAATATGAATGGAGTTGATGAGTAAGTTTTAATAAATAACTCATTAGTTGGTAAAATTCAAATTTACTCATAAATTAGAAATATTATGTTACAACGTATTTGAAGTTTTGTGATTGTTTGGTCGTATTGTTTTTGTTCATAATGAAAATATGATATATTATAACACGAATATGAAGGGAGTTGATGAGTAGGTTTTCAGAAGTTTTTTTTGTCTAAGGTGGAAAAATAAGATTGAGTTATGGAAAATTTTAAAGAATTTCTGTCGGCTTACCTTTAGCGGCCCAGAGAACTCCTTTGGCCAGTGCCATCAGGTAGATTTTCATCGACGATTTGCACTGCCCGGATATGTTTTTCGCGCCGGGTAAGCTGTTTGGGTTCCACTTATGGGGGCTGTAAACGGTGGCCAGCCACTGCAAACCGGTTTCAGACGCGATCCAGAGTTTCGCCTCGCTTTCTTTTCTCTTCAGCAGTTTCTGTAGGTTTTCCGAGGGCCGGCCCGGATCGGTTTTGACGGTCAGGTTTTGACCGCCGACGACCGCCGCTGCCAGCAGCATGCCCCACACCACGCCAAACCGCATACTGCTAAAAATAAACAATTGATTAAAGGAAGGTACGATATATCACCGAATAGAAAATCATGTTATAGTATTTATATATAGTCAATTATGTGATTATTTGGCAGCTTTCGGTTGTGGTAATAACAAAGACGCTGACAAAATCAACCGTGCCTTCAAAGAAATCGATTAATTGTTAACAGTTGTGAAGCCAAAGTCTCTACAATGTTAATTAGATCCGAAGGTCGTGGGTTCGAATCCCGCTCGTGACACTGACTTTTATCTCAACCAATACCTTGCATAAAGATTAATTAATTAAAAAACGTTAATTAGGTTTTAAAGGTTATTGCATTTTCATTTTGATCTTTGGTAATAGTCAATTTGGAAGAAGTTAGGTCTTTTTAGTTCGGTATGTCTTTGTAGTAACAGTCAATAATGTAATAGATTGCTTGTTTTCTTTTGTAATAATAACAAAGGTGCTATTATTTTTGTAGTTGTATTCAACAATGTCTTTATGGGAGTAGTCAATTAATCAACTTAGTAACAAAAGTATGTACAGCGTTAATTAAATTTAATAATTTAGTGCAGTTTTATTTTTATCTTTCGTAATAGTCAATTGTAGGCACTTAGATCATTGTAGTTAGGTATGGTTTTGTAATAATCGTAGTATGATTGTAGTTGGACATAGTCACTTCGATGGTAGAGAGTAATACTTAAGATTTGTCTGCCCCTTTTTAGAAATAGTGCGTAGTGATGTTATGTTCGTCGTAATAGCCAATTAAGTGGTAATTAGGTCTTTTTTGTGCTAATGTTGTAACATTATTAGATGAACTCTTGCTGAACCGGAATTTGGTCGATTATTGGGTCCGCCTTCAATCGGAAGTTCGTTGAACTACTTAAACGCATTTCTATGCGAACATTGTTCCTTTGTTCCTTCCGGTCTGTTCAATTGATATGTACAAGCAGCATCCAGAAACTATTAAAAACAACGTAAAAAGATAAGTGACTCAATGTCGGTTCAGCATGATTAGTATGATAGTAGTAATAGACGATCCAGTCCTAATTATATGAATGTACGTTGAAATATTTTTACTGTAATTAATGACTTAAAAATAAAAATTGTACTATTAAACTTGTACCCAATAAGGAATTAATTACTAAACAGATTATTTTATTTTTCTTGGTTCTTGTCGATACCGTCACTGGGTTTTTTTTTAATAATTTTGTAATATCAATTTTAGTACTAATTCGATCTTTTTTGTATGATATATCTTTGTACAATACAAATACTAGTATTTTTTTTGTAATTAGCAATTCTATAAAATTTAGATGTGTATACTTTCATGAGTCTTTGTTTTCAGTAATAGGCAATTTCCTATTAATCAATATTATAGATAATATAAATATCATTAGTAGATTTATCAGTTTAGCTTCTTATTTTTGTAACTAGTCAATTTACTAGTAGGTCAATATTTTTTGTTTAATCTAACTTAATTGGAATATCCTAAAGTGCTGTTAAGCTTGAAGTAATTAATATCATAAGTAGATATAAAATTTTAGCTTTTTTTTGGCAACTAGTCAATTTACTAGTAGGTCAATATTTTTCGTTTGAACCAACTTCATTGGAATATCCAAAGCTGCTATTAAGCTTGAAGTAATAAATATCATTACCAAATATATAATTTCAGTTTTTTTTTTTTTTTTTTTTTTTTTTTTTTCAACTAGTCAATTTACTAGTAGGTCAACATGTTTCGTTTGAACCAAAAAACTCTGTTAACCTTGGAAAATAAATATAAGTAGTAGATATACCATTTTAGCTTTTTTTTTGCAATTTACGAGTAGGTCAATATGCTTCGTTTGAGCCAACTTCATTGGAATATCCAAAAGTGCTGTTAAGATTAACGTAATAAATATCATTAGCAGACATACCATTTTAGCTTATTTTTTTTCAATTAGTCAATTTACTAGGAAGTCAATATTTTTCGCTTGATCGAACTTAATTAGAATATCCTAAAGTGCTGTTAAGCTTGACGTCTTGAAGTAATAAATATCATTAGTAGATATACCATTTTAGCTTCTTTTATTTTTTAGCAACTAGTCAATTTACGATTAAGTCAATATTTTTCGCTCCATCGAACTTAATTGGAATATCCAAAAGTGCTTTTATGCTTGAAGTAATAAATATCGTACTAGATATATCTTTTTAAAATTAGAAGGAAGATTAGATTAGAAGTAATACTAATATAATAGATTAGTAATAAATATCATTAATAGATATATCATTTTAGTCATATCACTTTTTTCCAACTAGTCAATTTCCTTTAGGTCGAAATTTTTCGTTTAAGCCAACTTCATTGGAATATCCAAAGGTGCTAATAAGCTTGAAATATTAAATATCAGTAGTAGATATCATTTTAGCCTTATTGTGTACTAATAGTCAATTCACTGGTACGCCAATATTTTTCGTCTACACCAACTTTATTGTTATCCAAAGTTGTTTTAAGTTTGAAGGAATAAATATCATTAGTAGATTTAGTCCTTGTTTGTAGTAATAGTCAATTTAGTGGTAAGTCAATATTTTTTTGATTGAATTGATTGGTAAAAATATCTAATGGTGCTGTGCTTATTCCATCTTTTAGTTTGATGAGGTTTATTAGTAATAGCCCATTTCTTAATACAATAGTTATATCATTTTTATTATTTTAGACTTTTTATTAATAACCTGAGGTATTTGTTGTAATAGTCAATTCTCTTAAAGTAATAATCTTTGTTATTTGAAATGCCTTTGTAGTTATAGTTACAATTTTATTAAATTTTTACATTAAATGTTTTACATTTTTTATTTAATAAAATATCATGTAGAAATAGTCAATTTCGAATAGACTTGTTACTTTTTGTTATTATATCTTTGTAACAAGTGACTATGGCATCTAGGATATTTGTAGTAATGTAGTAATTGTAAATATTTATTTTATTGAGATGGATAATTATAGTTTGGTTATATTTTTATTGGTGGGGTGATGTTCCAACAACGGTTTCTGATCGTCGTTTATAGTTTGGTCGTGTAAAGTCTTGGTAATAACAGTCAATTCAGCGATAGTTAGACGTTCCTAATGATAGTTTTTTGTATTATTGGTCTATTTATTACTAAACACACCTTCAAATAAATAGAGGTAGTTATATGGAATTGGTCTGGATTGACCGTAAGGGATAGTTCCATGAGATGCAGTCAAATTTATTCTTTTGCATGGTACATTTTTTTTTTCAAACTTAGCTCGACATAACTTTACAACAAGAATCTCAACTTGAAAGAAAGTGCGGAACACGTCTAAAAGCGGGGGATCTTTTCACATTCGGCAAATCGAATTTGCGGCTACGCTTATGTCACGTGGAAATCGAAAGTGCCGGATGCAAATCGGCCTTAAGCAACCTGGGATGACAAACGGCAAATAAACTCCCTCTCTTTTCTTATGGCATTTCGACGCCGAAGAAAGTACAATATTTTCAAACCGAGAGAATATGGAAGACTTTATTTATTTTAGGAGGATTTTTTTTATCCAAAGATAGCCCATTTTCGAGATATTTTCAATGTAAGGATTAAGTTTATTACATTTATTAGGTTTCGTGATCCGCTTGACCAAATAAATTCTTTTCGATTAATTAATATTTTATTAAGGTTTTCGTTGAGATAAAAAAGTCAGTGTCACGAGCGGGATTCGAACCCACGACCTTCGGCTAAATACGCCGCTGCTTTACCACTTGACCTATCGTGATTCTCGGCGACAAATGAAATTGCCACGGAGAGCTTTAGTGAAATATACTTCATTTTGCTTATTACTTTTATTAGTTTTCGTGGTCCGCTTGACCAATATTATCGAATCCCGCTTGTAACAAAGACTTTTTTATCTCGACCAAAACCTTAATTAAAGATTAATTAATTGAAAAGAATTTATTTGATCAACCGGACGATAAAACTTAATAAATGTCATAAACAAAATGAAGTATACTTCACTAACGCTCTACGTGGCCATTTCATTTGTCGCCGAGAATCAAATAGATTACACATTTGAAAAATGGCAAAAAGGAGGGAAAATTCAAAAGGTGGGGTTGAGGCGGGAAGTTAGTGGTAGAGCAGCGGCAGATTTAGCCGAAGGTCGTGGGTTCGAATCCCGCCATGACACTGACTTTTTTATCTCGACCAAAACCTTAATTAAAGATTAATTAATTGAAAAATAAGGATTAAGTTTTAAGATCAATCCAATGTAAGAAAATTTTATTTTAATGTTAAATGGAATACTTTGAATATTTCTACTAGTGTAGTAAGTCGGTATCAAGTCAAATTGAATGTATTTAGTATTTACGAGAAGCGTCGTTGATCGTAGGCCAACTTGTTGAATTGTCATTTACGTTTAAATTTAAAATTTACACCTCCGCTCACTTCTTCTTTCACGGCGTCTTCACAACATTCTCTTAACCGGGCTAATGGACAAGTTCATCGGTGGTAATCGATCCCGTTTCAACAGGTCGTAAATATCCTCGGCGCGGCCGTGCGTGTGAAGAGCGCATCCTTTAAAAGGAAAAGGAAACAAGTTGAATTTCCACTTACGCACGAGGGTACTTATTAAATGGGTTTCGGTGGGTAGAAACACCGGGCTCCCGGCCCCATTGTCTTTCCATTCCATCGATTAAGCCGGGCTGACAACTTTCGACTTCCCACTTGCATTTCGCCCGGAACACGTGGTAATTTTTCACATGTTCAACCGTTTTATATGCTCGTGGGAACATTTTATTTTGACGATTCTTCCTAGAATAATTTTCTACCTAGAACGAAAGTGTTAAATCTAACTGGCCATTGTTGCCATGTTGATTTGTGTACGTTACGTAAAACCGCTATTAATAAGTGATGTAATTAGAATTTTTCGTTAAAAACAGCGATTTTTTATTAATTATATTCAAACAATTTTCAGTATTTTAAGGTGATACCGAAATAAGGTGTAACCAATCCAAGAAAGTAAGTTCTTGGGGGAG